AGCTGGCCCAGGCCCCGGCTCTGCCACTGGCCTGCCGGGTGACCTTGGGCATGTCCCTCTGCCTGGCTGCCTCCTCCCACCGTCTGTGCAACCGGAATGGTGATAGGCTCTTCTCTTTGTGAAGCACCTGAAAATTCAAATGGGGCTAGTGGTAGCTCTAAAGAGGTTATTTATTCGTACAGCTGCCTTCCCCCCTGTAATCCTGATGGCTTTGGATACTAAATACTTTGTATGGGTTGCCTTCCCCATTCCGCAGTGGAGAAATTATCCAACAGGGTGCATATACCATTGACATGTTACAAAGTAAATTTTTATTTTAGTGAACCACTTCTGTCCAATCTGGGATCAGAACCTTGGAGTCTTTAAAGTCTAGTCACATTAAGTTAGTCAGGCGGGACCATCATCATCAGTTTCTAGTCTGACCTGCTACAGTTCAAGTTACAGAGAATTCACTATTTGCATTAGTTTAAACATGCAAGTGATCATGGGCACTTGTCAATTTTATACCCTCCGCTCTGTAAGCTTATTGAGCTCAGTCTTGGAGACGGGTTCTTCTCCCCCTTCCCCCCCCCCAAAAAAAAAAAAACTTCCCTGCTCTGATGGCTAGAAACTTTTGCCTAATTTCAAATCTAAATTTGTTGGTTGTGGATATATATCCACTTTTTCTTCTGTCCACATTGCCACTTAAGTGAAATGATTCCTCCTCCTGCCCTCTGGTGGAGAGCAGTCCTCTCTTCCCTCAGTCTTGTTTTCGATTGGCTAAACAAGCCAAGATCTTTGAGTTTCCTTTCATAAAGTAGGTTTTCCATCCTCTGATCACCATAGTTGCCTTTCTTGACACCTGTTCCAGTTTGAATTCACCTGTTTTAAATGTGGGAGACTAAAATTGCACACACTATTTGGGTATGTCTACATTGCCACCCTAGTTTGAACTAGGGTGGCTAATGTAGGTATTCGAACTTGCAAATGAAGCCCGGGATTTAAATATCCTGGGTTTCATTTGCATGTTCCCGGGCGGGTGCCATTTTTAAATGCCCATAGTTCGAACTACCTGCCCATGGCTACATGCAGTATGGACCAGGTAGTTTGAATTAAAGCTCCTTGGAGGTGTAATGGTAGTTCGAATTAGGAGCTTTAATTCGAACTACCTGGTCCGTGCCGCATGTAGCCATGGGCAGGTAGTTTGAACTATGGGCATTTAAAATTGGCGCCCGCCCGGGAACATGCAAATGAAGCCTGGGATTTTTAAATCTCGGGCTTCATCTGCAAGTTCGAATGCCTACATTAGCCACCCTAGTTCGAACTAGGGTGGCTAATGTAGGCATTCGAACTTGCAGATGAAGCCCGAGATTTAAAAATCCCAGGCTTCATTTGCAGATGAGGTCTCACCCCCAGCTTTGTATAATGGTACTATCACTTCCCTGTCTCTACTTGTAATGTCTCACTTGATGTATTCTAGGACGGCTTGGGAATTTTCCATAACATTTTCCATATCATTTTCCAAACGATATCACCGGTTCAGAGTCATCCTATGAACAAATAATACTCAGATCTTTCCTCCTCTGTCGTTTCCAACTATTAAGTCTCCAGCTTATAGCAAAAATTCTTGGTGTTAGTTCCTAAATACATGATTTCGCGCTATTAAATTGCATCCTATTTTTATAATACTCCAGTTTTCAAGGTCATCCAGATCTTATGACATTCCAGTCCTCCTCTGTATTGGTTATACTTCCCAACTTTGTATCATTTGCAAGCTTGATTAGCATACTTCCCCTTTGTGACATTTTCATTAATGAAAATATTAAATAAGATTAGTCCCAACACCAATTCATGAGGAACTCCACTACTAACCTCCCTCTAGCCTGACAGATCACCTTTCATGACTCAGCAGTGCAGGGCAGCAGCTGGCTCTTCAGGAGTGGGACTGCAGGTTTAAAAGCCAGATCCCGGAGAGCGGGTTGCCAACCAACAGCTGCTGCCTCTGTATCAGGATTAAGGGATCTTCCGGAAAAGGCTTTATTTTCCGAAAGATCCCTGTCTACACTGGCACTTTTTTCTGGCTAAGCCCCGAGCTGGAAAAAAGCGGCAGCCATGTTCATGCAAATGCCGCGGGGGAAATTTAAATCCCCGCGGCATTTGCAATTCCGAAGTGTCTCATTAGCATCCCTTTTCCGGAAAAGGGTGCCAATGTAGACACAGCCAGGATGTGTATTATAACTGCAAAAGTCTGCAAAACTGGGCCGATCAATTTCTGATAGAAATTATTAAAATTGTAATCTTAAAAAAATAAGAATTTTTTCTTTGCAGTGTTCTGTACATTCAAAATTGAGACTTTCTGTGGCAAAAAACTTTAGAGTATCGGTGATGACTCCTCTGAATATTCTCTGCTCTTTGTCTAGTACAAGTATACCAGATTGATATCACAGTGAGACAGGGGCGTGATAAACTGCGGGAGATGTTCATGAAGAATGCCCATGTCACAGACCCCAGACTGATTGACATGCTGGTTATAAAGGTAAAACAAACATACATACTTTTTTTTTTATACATACACAAAGTATAGATTAGCATACAGAAGTAGTAGTGGAGAAAGCATTTCTTTGATTATCTCAGCTTGTTCTACTGAACTTTTGATATTGGAGCCTTTAATATCAGGGTAATATAATAAGCATATGTATTTCAGCCATAGATACTAGAGGAGAAAAAGCTCCTTGCCTATATCCTCTACTAGAACAGGTTGGTCTTTAAAATAGATTCAAAACATTACAAAGGCATTCTTTAGTTAATAAGACGTCTCTTGTTCTGCATTTGTAAACAGAAATGGTCCATCAGATGAAATAGTTAAGGATTCCTGTGTCTATAAAAGATGCTAATACTCCATCAACAGTAACATTTCCATTTTTGTATTTGTTTCATCTTGTGTTGAGTTTCTAGTAGAGGAAATGGGTGACAGGAGAGGGATCATTTATTACCTGTTGTGTTCCCTCCCTCTGTGGCATCTGATATTGGCCATGTTGGCAGACAGAATATTGGGCTACATGGACCTTTGATCTGACCCAGTATAGCCGTTCTTATGTTCTAAGTCACAATACTTCTATGAAGAGTTCTTGGCCTTTCACTCTTATGTAGCTTGACACTTGTTGCCAGGCTGGAGTGGATATTTGAAAGGCAGGTGGGTAGCTAGGAGTGCAGATTGTGAGACAACAACCAGCAGTTTGAGTCACCTGCTCTGTATGTGGGGGTGGATAGCAAAAATCAGTAAAGCTGGGGAGGGTAATGCTGAGTGTACTTGTTCATGGGACAGAGTTAGAAGGCTGTATGGGTGAGGATAGAGAACTTTTAAAAAGCCTGCATAACTGAACTAACCGGTGGAAGTGTGTCTTTGCATTCAGAAGGTTTTTTTAAGAGATGGAAAACTATGTATTCTGTTCTTATCGGATTAGACTATTTAATTGCTCTAACTGGGAACTGATATATGAACTGTGGCTCCTTTTTGTACAAATGCAGGGGAAATTGGAATTGGAAGAAACCATTAATGTGTGGAAGCAGCGGACACACGTCATGAGGTTTTTCCATGAGACAGAAACCCCACGACCCAAGGACTTTCTGTCCAAGTTTTATGTGGGCCATGACCCTTGAGACAAACGGACTGAAACTAATTCTGTATTTCACTCTGACTGCAAATAAAGCTCTGATAGTAGAGAACAGCTTTTGAAATTATTCATAAGGAAAGTATCCATCTTACCAATAAAATGGGCTGTGTGCAGCAAGGATCCTGTCTTCTGTTCCTGTCCCTCTTTCAAGTATTGTCCTTGCTCTGGAATATCTTGTAGCATGAAAGAACAATCCTCAAGAATACAATGATCTAAAGTAGATTTGGGAGCTTGAGTTAGATTCAGCCTCTAGTGAAGTAAGACTCTCCCTGATGTGGGTATAGGATATTAAGAGAAGCTACCTCAGAAGGATATTAGAAAACTTTATGGAACTGGCCAGTACTGAAATTCTATAGTGGGGCTGTGTGTTACTGAATTGGAGGTAGCTGTTGATCAGTGAGTGTGTCTGTTCCCCCGGTCCCCCTTTCCCCCCAAAAAAAGTGCTAACTTTACTTGAGTGTGTCTGTTCCCCCGGCCCCCATTTCCCCCCCAAAAAAAGTGCTAACTTTACTTAGCTGTTAATTCTGCGTATGCTATTCAAGTCAAGTCTAAAAAAAAAAAAACCCTCTCAGCCTTGGATTCCTGCCCCCCGGCAATATTTATTGAACACTTGCCTATGCAACTGACTACAGCCTATTAAAGCTGGTGTATTCAACTTTTTGAAAACTCTAATAGCAAACTCAGCTACTTATTGTGCTGGAGGGAATTTCTCAAACAGTCTTTAGTGATGGAATTAGCCATGATTGAATGCTGTGGTGGTACAGAATTAAACTAATATTTATTCAGCACTCTGAAGACAAATTTAATGGTACCAAAACAGCTCCTTTTCTATAGCTGCATGAATTAATATTCTCCCAAACTTTGATAAGGTAGGTTAACATGTCTCCCAAGTTTTTTCTATAGTCCTGTCTATATTCCAACTAAGCATGGCAAGAGGAATCTTTTCTGAATACAGGTCTTCAAGCAGCTCTGAGATTAAGGACCATTGAAGATGCATACAACCAATACCTCATCACTGAGCTGGCGGTAGCAGAGTGCAACTAGCTCTCTAGATGATAGCTAGAACCCTGCAAATTCAGATACCCATTTTATGTCTATGGCTCACCTTTTTTTGCAAATTGTGCCTCTATTTTCTCTCTCCCCCCCCTCCCCCCCATTTTCTTCACATCACCATACCCTTCTCTGAACTAACAGCGGCTTTCCCCTTTGATATTTTCTGCTCAGTGTCATAGGCATAGGGACTGGTGCTGTAGGGGAAAGTAAATATTAAAATTATAAACACTTTCATACAGATCTGCTCCCCTTTGAAAAAATAATCCTATAACAATCAGTGCCCACCCCAGTAGGCAAGTGCCTGAAGAGAGCTAGGTGGCCTGCATTGTTACTACAAGGTCAAACTGAGTAGCGGAGAACTTACAGAAGTACATGGCAGAGGCTAAATCCTTCCCTCTAAAAACAATCTACTACCAACACCTTCATGTTTAAATGGGGAATTATTAGCTGAACTGTCTTAGCTGATTTTGGTAGATCACAAAGAGAAAGTGGTGTATGTAGTAGTAAACCTTTTATAGATCATATTGCAAAGGAATCAGTTCCACCAAATAGAAACTAGCAAGCCACTGTGGCAGTTGGACTGTGTGTCTGCTAGGATTTAAGAAGCTGCACTATCACCTGTAAACTTCCAGTAGGCAAGAGTGCAGCACAAATCAAGCATTCTGAGGTGGTCTACACTACGGGGCTTTATCAGAAAAAGGTACGGAAATTGCAGAGCGCAATTTGCATACTTTTTCTGATAATTTTTTTGGAAGAGGCTTTTCTGTCTACACTGGGCCAAATTTCGGAACCTCCCCCTTTCAGAAGAGCCCTTTCTTGTGGGAGAAGGAAGACAGGGCTTTGGAAAGAGCACATCTGCTCTTCTACAAAAAAACAAAACACACAGAAGAGCAGAGACACTCCCTGGATGTGGCAGAGTTTTGGCATCCTTGAAAAACCCCGTAGTTTAGACAGCCTGAAATACTCTGAACTAGAAGCTAAAGCAATAGAATATTAGATACAGTTCTGCAAGACAAGACAATTAACATGATGGGTTACTATTTGGCAAATCAGACTAGTGACCGATCCGAAAGAATGAGTGTGGGTACTTATTCACTGCCAGAAGGCAAATTAAATTAATGGTGTCTTTATGCCTATTTCAGGATTAAAAAGGAGCAATGAAATTTAAGATTTCTTGGTGAGGCCTCAGCTCAACCCTTTCGGGAATTAAGAGATACAAAGGGTATGATAAGGGGAGATTTCTAGCATCAAGGTATGGCTTCCGGAGAAAGAAAATAAAATTCATTATACAGAAGAGATGCTTTCCGGCAGCCACATCACCACATAACTCTGGCATCCAACACATTCTGTGATATCAGAACAATAAATAAGCTGTCTTGTTAGCACAACTTAGCAGAAAATATTCCAACCACACACAAGTAGTCCAGTCTTGGCTTATCTGAGACGGTGGGTTTTACAAAAGCTCATGATACTATATATTTGTTAGTTTCTAAGGTGCTACAGGACTACTCTTTTCTTTAAAGTTAGACTAACATGGCTACCCCTCTGAGACAAGTAGCAAAGGTAAGATCTTCAGAGTCTTTGTGCCAATTTAATAGTAAGTTACTTTTAAAAACGAAGTCTTGGAAACTAAATTTATAGCACATATTGAAACTATAAAGGTGCCTGATAGGCATTTTCATGTAACCTCAGTGCAGACACGAAGTAATTTCTGGTAGATTCTAGCTGAATATTTTGTTGTTCATGAAATACCATAAAACCATACATTGTGCACATCATGCTGCACTGACACTTGGCATTTAGAGTTTTTTCATTTGCATTAGATGACTTAAGAATTTTAACTGTGCAACCTTAAAGTTGCATGTTATTAGGATGAGATGAAGTTGATAGTACTTAATGCTACAGCAGGTTGCATGGGAGCAGTCTAGTAACTCTTAAGTCCGGAGACATTTTGCAATGATTGGCCTGCTTTAAATGACAATCTGCCTGCAATGTCCAGGCATATTACAATTATTTTTCTATAATATACTGACAGGTTTTTAAGCAATGCATTAAGTTTCAGCCTACTATAGTCCTTCCTTAGCCAAAAAGAAATAAGAACATATGAAGTCTGAAGCATCAATGCTAATAAACAGGAACTGAGCTGCAAGCACGAAAATAAACAAATAGTTCAGTCTGTCATTCTTTATTTGTAATCTAATCATTTGTACTGTCCATACTCATTATATCAGCCCAAGTAGTCTCTCATGAGGTGAAAGGTACAGCAGGCAAGGGTTGCTGGACCTATTGTGTATATACATCCCTTTCCAATTGCCACACAGATATGAAGAGAACATTCGTTGGTACAGAGGGAGGTCCAACTGTGCCTCCTTTCCTCTTTAAAATGAGGCAGGTGGCATGAGGAGACAGATATCAAACCAGATCTTTGTCTGTGGCTTTCCCTCTTGTTCTTTTATTATAGTCCTGCAAAGAAGTACAAAGGAATGTTAGCCAGCACTATAGAACAGCCCTATGCTCTCCTTCAGCTAGACCAGTGTTTCTCAACTTTTTTTTTTAATATAAAGTACCCCCTTTAAAAAAAAAAAGTTACCTATAGTTTTCAGACAATTTTTTTTTCTACCATTGCAACACATTTGTTTAAACAACTTAATCGTAGCCGGGTGGGCAATGACATTTTTGGGTGTAAAAAGTACAAAAAATAATAAAGCGCTGTAAAACTAATTCATTTTTCTCCAAATTTCAGTTGTGGTGATGTTTCTCTCAAGTACCCCTAAGGGTACTCGTACCACTGGTTGAGAAACACTGAACTAGATAATACTAGTTCCAGTACATAATGAACAAGGGCAAAGCCCATAAGCAAGGTAATGTGAAACAAGTTTCCTTTGCTGATAACTCTACACAATTCAAGCTGAGTGGTGCATTCCCTGTTTTCAGCCACACAATTTGATATAAACTGTAAACTTTCTAAGGGGAAAACATGGTTGATGGACCATGGAAAAGAGGGTTAGCAAAGGGCATGTATTGAACTAAACTGATACAGAAAAAGTATAGAATATTTATGCTGTTGAACCGCTGAAGGAAACACATGCATTCCACATAAAATATTACCCTCATTTCATTTTATGCCACTTTCCTGGTGCTCACTGAATGGTATGCAAATGGGTAAGCGGAAGGGATGTTAGATATTGTTTCGTTTAATAATCATGTAACCACAACAAATCTTAGTGATTACACAATTATTCAGTGTTCCCATGGGACATGGCTGGCAGCCAGTGCACTCCTGGCTCCACTCTCGGCGCCCCCTGCCACCCCACACTGCTGCCCCTATCTGCAGAGGGTCCAAGCTCCCCATGGACAGAGGCTGCGCCAGTATCCCACAGAGCAGCCTCTGTCGGCAGCGAGCCTGGGCCCACTGTGGACAGAGGCTACTCTGGCATTGTTCCCCCCCCCCGCCACCCCCACCTCCCTGCTGCCTCTGATACAGAGGTAGCGGGGGGGGGAGAGGAGAATGCATGTCATTTGGATTAGCGACAAACCTAGGCTTATCAGTTAATCTTTGAACAGCTATATACTAACATCCCTAGCAAGCAGTTACCCAGTAAGCATCACCTTTCCCAGGTGATACTTACTAAAATATGGTTAACTGATTCCCTGGGAGCAGCCCCTTGCCTGTGGCCTACCATGGGCAGCGGGATGCTCCTGGCAGCCACCCCCAAGAGGCTGGGGCTGAAAGCTGGCAAGTAGGCTGAACCCCAGCACAGGTCTGGGATCAGGAGACCTGCAGGCTGGGAGGCTGGAACAGTGAGATCCCACTTAATTAATTAGTTAAATGTTAGGTTAACCCAGTGGTCTCCAACCTTTTTACATCCAAGATCACTTTTTAAATGACAGAACAAGCCAAGATCTACTGCCTCGCCCCTTCCTTGAAGCCCCGCCCTCTTTATTCTCCTCCTCTCCATCACTTGCTATCCCCAACCCTTATTCTGCTGCTTTTTTCCTCCCAATTCTTCTGTAGGAAGAGGTTTGTCCAACATTTGGCCTGTCTAGACTGGACCAAATGTGAGAAAAACCCCTTCTTTTGGAAGCCCCCTTATTCCTCGTGGAAAGAGGAATATAGGGGTGACTGAAAGAGCATGTTTGCTCTTCCACTAAAAGAAGCGGAAGAACAAATGCATCCCTGGATGCAGAAGTGTTTTTCTGGGATATCTCCGGAATCCTGAAAAACTCCTGCGGTCTAGCCGGACCTTCACTGTGTTGAGACAGGATGTGTAGGCTCTGGGGTGGGAATGAGGGATGTGGGTGTGGGAAGGAGTGAGAGGTGCAAGCTCTGGGAGGAAATCTGGATGCAGAAGGTGGTCGATAAAGGGACACTGGCTCAGGAAGGGGGCGCCACGCTGGGCAGTGTTGGGGTCAGATGTAGGGTTAGGGTACTAAGCAAGCCACAGACTTCTGGATGTGAGGGTTCAGGAATTTGGGTTGGGGTATGTGAGGGGCTCAGGACAGGGGGTTCCAGTGTATGATAGGTTCAGATGTAGAGTCTGGGGGAAAGGGGAGTGCAGGAGTGT